ATTATATCCTGTGTTATTTGCCGGAGATACGATGCCAGAGTGTGTCCATATCTGGGACCTCCTCCACTCCCGAGGGAACGAGTTGTACATATTCGTCCCTTTGAGACTACAGGAGTAGATTTCACAGGAGAACTAACACTAACAGGCACCAAGGACAAAAAAAAACCAGTAAAGGCATATATCTGCCTTTTCACTTGTGCCACAACAAGGGCAGTCCATCTAGAAGTGACTCTCAATATGAGTGCCAAGGTATTCTTACAGGCTTTCCGTAGGTTTGCTTCACGTACATCCTGTCCAAAGTTAATGGCCTTCATCATTGTGGCCTTCATCCGTTAGGCCTTTTTCGTTATGGTCTTCATCCTTGAGGCCTTCATCCTTGTGGTCTTCATTCGTGTGACTTTTATCCGTGTGGCCATCATCCATGTGGCCCTAATCCTATGTGGTCTTCATCCGTTGTGCCTTCATCTGTTTGGCCTCAATCCTCGTGGCCTTCATCCTTGTTTCCTTTATCCATAGGCCTTCATCTGTGTGGCCTTCATCTGTGTGGCTTTCATCCGTGTGGCCTTCACACGTGTGGCCTTCACACTTGTTGCCTTCATCCTAGTGGTTTTCATCCCAGTGGCCTTTATCCATGTGGCCTTTATCCGTGTGACCTTCAAGCTAGTGACCGTCATTCTTGTGGTCTACATCCCTTTGGCCCTCATCCTTACGGCCTTTAACCTTGTGGACGTCATTCTAGTGGTGTTATATCCCAGTTGCGTTCATCCGCGAGACCTTCATCCATGTGGTGTTCATCCGTATGGCCTTCAACCTTGTGGACGTCATCCTAGTGGTCTATATCCCAGTTGCGTTTATCCGTGAGACCTTCATCCATGTGATGTTCATCCGTGTGGCCTTCGTTATTGTAGCCTTCACCTGTGTGACCTTCAACCGTGTGGCCTTCATCAGTGTGGGCCTTCATTTGGAAGGCATTTTTCCATGTGGTCTTCATCCGAGTGGCCTTCATTCTTGTACCCTTCATCCGTGTGGCCGTCATCCTGGTGTAACAAACTAGCTGTTGTGGGAATGATCTAGAATGTTTTATCTCAGACCGGGGAGTTTCGGAAGATTGGAGTCAAGTGGTAGTGACCTGACCCTGGAAGCACAAGGCGCATCCCCCTGGGAATTAGCAAGTCTGAGTCACAAAATGGCTGGCGCCCTTTTTCTCATAGCAACGTATAATGAATCATTCTATAGTATTCACCCTGGAAACACAAATCGAAACTGTCACTATTTTCCGCTTGTTACAACTTGTAATAAAGTTGTTACATCTTGGCTTAACGTGTTTATGACGTATTATAACGTTGTTACAACTTGCTATATTGGTTGTTATAACTGGTTAGGAGGCGTTAAAACTTGTTCGAACGTTGTACCAATGTCGTAGTTTCGGTGTGTGTTTGGCGGGCACTTATTTAGAGAAATTAGTCTTCGTTCAAATTGTATAATATTACTGGTTATAATATCAAGAGGATTCTAATTATTAGGAGGTTGAGTTAAGTCACCATCAGTGACGTCACGAGCCAGGACTAGGCTGTAGCGCGGAGTGACCTCGGCGACCTGGCGGTCACAGGTCAACAGAGTTTCCACATTCAGTAATTCTCAAAGGTCAAATAGCCATTTTGTAATTGGGAATAGCTCTTCCCTAAGATGCTTGTGTAAGTAACTTCAGTTAAAATAATTCAACCAATCTGGATCATTCAGTGCAACAGAGGTTAGTTGTTAAACTTAAGCTTTGCTAAGTAAGTTGGTAAACTAGGCGGAACAATACTCTGCTCTGGGCTCCTGGGTAGAGGAGCATCAGAGAGAGGACAGTGTGGTATCCGGATCATCCCAGGAAAGGTGTTCACTCCACCTCTCCCCAAGACCTTAGCACAAACATCTAGCTGGTCGCCAAAAGGGTAAAGTTTGCTCAGAATTTTTGTATAGAGGTCAACATATCTTATCGGTCTTATCGGTCAACTCATTGCCGATAAGGTCAAGTAGGAAGTGTTCAGGTTAGGGAGTGAATTGATTTAGATTTTGTTTAGTTTTTGAATAAACCATTTAGCTATTAAATTTTCTTTTTTTATTAATTTCCATTTTTGTGTAATTTATGTGAATTGGTCAATACCATATGGGTAGCCGGCGAGGCCGAGTTGAGTTGGGCGCCGATTCTAACACCGAATCATAATTCAGTATTCCCTTTGATTACTAATTAATTCCACACTTACGGATACCCAAGTCATCTAACTAGTGGGGATCAAGCCCCATAGTTATTGATTAGCATGATCGATCCAGACCTCAGTCATCGCTCAGTGTTACTGGTCTGGTGGTGGCAGCAGACAACCCGTTCTCGCAAATTCGTAAAGTCAATATTGACTTATTAAATAAGTGCATAGGTGACATACTAAACATAATAGATACCCTTAAAAAGCTTCATAGAAAACACCGACCTTACCTAACCTTGTTAGTATCTTAAGATAAGCATCTTATAGCTTCGTAATTACAATTGTTACTTAACCTATTATAGGTATAGGTTAAGTAATAATTGTAATTACGAAGCAATAAGATGCTTATCTTAAGATACTAACAAGGTTAGGTAAGGTCGGTGTTTTCTATGAAGCTTTTTAAGGGTATCTATTATGTTTAGTATATCACCTATGCACGTTGTTAATAAGTCAATATTGACTATACGAATTTGCGAGAACGGGTTGCAGCAGAGGCGACTCTAGAGCTTTGCTAGATGTCTATTTCACGTCATACGGGTTGTAGAATCTGAAGTCGGTCAATCGTCTTAAGACCACGTGGCGTGGGGTCGACTCGAGTAAAATTTGTGGGATCCCTTGGATAGAGAGTTTAAGTCAGAATATGGCTACAGAGAGGATTAGAGAGAACAAAGATACGAAGTATAGAACGAATACCCCTCCCGTGTTACACTGGTGGTCTTCATCTATGTGGCCTTCACCTTGTAGCCATCATCCGTGTAGCCTTCATCATTGTGGCCTTTTTCATGTGGCCTTCATCCGTGTGGCCGTCATCCTAGTGGTCTACATCCCTATGGCCTTCATCCGTGCGGCCGTTTTCTATGTAGCCTTCATCCGTGTGGCCGTCATCCTAGTGGAATTCATCGATTTGGCCTTCATCTGTGTGGCCTTCATCCTAGCGTTCTACATCCCTGTGGCCTTCATCTCTGTGGCCTTTATCAATGTGGCCTTCATCCTTGTAGCCTTCATCAATGTTACCTTCAATTGTGTGGCCTTCATCCGTTTGGCCTTCATCCATGTGGCCATCATCCGTGTGATCTTCTTCCATGATGTCTACATCTGTATGGTCCTCATCCTTGTGGCCTTCATCCGTTTGACCTTCATCCGTGTGCCCTTGACCCTTGTGGCCTTCATCCTTGTTTGCTTTCGTTTGTTGTTTTCATTTGTGTGGCCTTCCTCCTTTTGACCTTCATCTGTGTGACCTTCGTCCTTGTGTCTCTCATTCTTCTGGCCTTCATCCTTGTGGCTTTCATTTTTGTGGCTTTTACCCTGGTTACCTTCATCCTTGTGTCTTTCATTCTTGTGGACTTCATCTTCGTGGTCTTCACAATCGTAACCTTCATCCATGTGGCGTTTATCCGCGTGGCCTTCATCCTTGTGACCTTCATTCATTTTGCCTTCATCCTTGTGACCTTCATCCATGTTGCCTTAATTATTGTGGTCTTCATCCGTATAGTCTTGTGGTCTTCATTTGTGTGATTTTTATCTGTATGGTCTTCATTCTTTTGGCCTTAATCCTTTAGGCCTTCATCCGTGTGTTCTTCATTCGTATGACCTTCATCCGTATGGCCCTCATCCGAGTGGCCTTAATCTTTGTGGTCTTCATCAGCATGGTCTTCATCCGTGTGGCATTCATCCGTGTTGCCTTCATCCTTATCGCCTTCATCTTTGCAGACTTCATCCTCGTGGTCTTCACCCGTGTGGCCTTTATCTATGTGGCCTTCATCTGTGCGGCCTTCATCTGTGCGGCCTTCATCTGTGCGGCCTTCACCCGTGTGGCCTTCATCAGTGTGGCTTTTACCCATGAGGTCTGCACCCATGTGACCTTCATCCTTATGGCCGTCATCCTTGTTAAGGTTATCTTGAGATGATTTCGGGGCTTAGTGTCCCCGCGGCCCAGTTCTCGACCAGGCCTCCACCCCCAGGAAGCAGCCCGTGACAGCTGACTAACTCCCAGGTACCTATTTACTGCTGGGTAACAGGGGCATCAGGGTGAAAGAAACTCTGCCCGTCGTTTCTCGCTGGCGCCCGGGATCGAACCCGGGACCACAGGATAACGTGTGCAGCGTGCTGTCCGCTCGGCCGGCCGGAACCCGACCCTTCATCATTGACCTTCATCAATGTGGCTTTTATCCATGTGACCTTCATCCGTGTTTCTGTCATCCGTTTTGCCTTCATCCATGTGGCCTTCATCTTTGTTGCCTTCATCTGTGTTACATTCATCATCGAGGCACTCATCCGTGTTGCCTTAATCAATGAGGCCTTCATCCGTGTGCCCTTCATCTGTGTAGCCTTCATCCGTGTGGCCTTCATCCAAGAGGTCTTCATCTGCGTGGCCTTCATCCTGATGGCCGTCATTCTTGTGGCCTTTAACCATGTGGCCTTCATCCTTGTGGCCTTCATCCGTGTGGTCTTCATCAATGTGGTCTTCATCGTGTAGCTTTTATCCTTGTGGCCTTCAACCATGTGGCCTTTATACTTGTGGCCTTCATGCGTGTGGTCTTCACCATTGTGGTCTTCATCCATGTGGTCATCACCCGTGTGGCCTTCATCCGTATGACCTTCATCTGTGTGGCCTTCATCGGTGTGGCCTTCAACATTGTGGTCTTCATCCTTGTGGCCTTCATCCTTATGACCTTCATCCTTGTGGCCTTAAATCTTGTGGTCTTCATCCTTGTGGCCTTCATCCTTGTGGCCTTCATCCTTGTGGCCTTCATTCTAGTTGTCTTCATCCTTGTAGCCCTCATCCTTGTGGTCTTCATTCTTGTGGCCTTCATCCTTGTGATCTTCATTCTTGTGACCTTCTTTCATGAGGCCTTCATCCTTGTGACCTTGATCCGTGTGGTCTTCATCCTTGAGGCCTTCATCGTTGTGTTCTTCATCCATGTAGCCTTCGTCTTTGTGCTCTTCATTCTCGTGACCCTCATACTTTTGGTCTTCATCTTTGTGGTCTTCAACCGTGTGGCCTTCATTCTTGTGGTTTTCATTCGTGTCACCTACATCTGTATAGTTTTCTTCCGAGTGGAACTAAATCCTTGTGATCTTCATCTTTCGTGCCTTCATCCGTGTCACCTTCATCCATGTAGCCTTCATCAATTTGTCCTTCATCCGTGAGGCAATCTTCCGTGTGGCCTTCATCCTTAATGCCTTCATCTTTGTGGCCTTCATCCACGTGGTTTTCATCCGTCTGGCCATCATCTGTGTGGCCTTCATCTGTGTGGCCTTCATCCGTCTGGCCTTTATCCATGTGGCCCTCGCCTGTGTGGCCTTCATCCTTGTAGCCTTCATCCTTGTGGCCCTTCAGCTTTGTTACCTGCAAGCATGTGGCCTTCATCCTTGTGGCCTTCATCCTTGAGACCTTTATCTTTGTGGCATCCATTCGTTTTTTTTATTCGTGTGGCCATCATCTGATTAGATTTCATCCGTTTGGCCTTCATCCTTGTAGCCTTGATCCATGTGGCTTTCATCTGTGTGGGCTTCATCCATGTGGCCTTCATCTGTATTGCCTTCATCCTTGTGGCTTTCATCCTTGTGTCCTTCATCCGTGTAGCCTTCAACCATGTGGCCTTCATCCTTGTAGCCTTCATCCATGTTGTCTTAATCATCGAAGTCTTCATCCGTGTGGCCTTCGTCCGTGTGCCCTTCAATTGTGTGGCCTTCATCCATGAGGCCTTCATCTGTGTGGCCTACATCGTTGTGTCATTCATCCTTGTGGCCTTCATCCGTGTGGCCTTCATCCATGTGGCCTTCATCATTGTGGCCTTCATTTGTGTGGTCTTCATCTTTGTGGTCTTCATCCGTGTGGCCTTCATCCGTGTGGCCTTCATCCGTCTGGCCTTCAACCATGAAGCCCTCATCTTTATGCCTTCATCCGTGTGGCCTTCATCCATGTGGCCTTCATCATTGTGGCCTTCATTTGTGTGGTCTTCATCTTTGTTGTCTTCATCTGTGTTGCCGTCATCTGTGTGGCCTTCATCATTGTGGTCTTCATCCTTGTACCCTTCATCCTTTTCGCTTTCATCCATGTGGCATCCATCCTTATATTCTTTATCAGTGTGGCTTTCATCAATGTGTTCTTGATCCTTTTGGCCTTCATCCTTGTTGTCTACAACAGTGTGGCCTTCATCCGAGTGGCCTAAATCCGTGTTTCTTTCATCCGAGTGGCCTAGATCCGTGTTTCCTTCACCTGTGTGGCCTTCATGTGAGTAGCCTTCATCCTTGTGGTCTTCATCCTTGTGACCTTCATCCTTGTGTCATTAAGTTTTTGTGGTCATCATCCTTGTGACCTTCATCCCCGTGGCCTTCCTCCTTGTGGCTTTCCTCCTTGTGGCCGTCATCCTTGTTGCCTTCATACTTGTAGCCCTCATACTTGTGGCCTTTATCCTTGTGTCGTTCATCCTTGTGACCTTCATTCTTGTGGCCTTCATCCTTGTAGCTTTATCCTTGTGACCTTCATACGTGTGGCCTTCATCCATGTGGTCCTCATCATTGTGGTCTTCATCTGTGTCGCCATCACACGTGTGGCCTTCATCCGTGTTACCTTCATCTGTGTGGCTTTCATCCTTGTGGTGTTCATCCTTGTGTCCTTCATCCTTGTGGCCTTCATCCTTGTGGCATCCATCCTTGTAGTCTACATCAGTGTGGCCTTCGACAATGTGGTCTTCATCCGTTTGGCTTTCATCCATGTTGTCTTCAACATTGTGTCTTTCATCCGTGTGGCCTAAAGCTATGTTCCCTTCATCTGTGTGGCCTTGATTGGTATTACCTTCAACATTGTGGTCTTCATCCTTGTGGCCTTCATCCTTATGACCTTAATCCTTGTGGCCTTAAATCTTGTGGTCTTCATTCATGTGGCCTTCATCCTTGTGGCATTCATCTTTCTTGTCTTCAACCTCGTGATCTTCATCCTTGTGGCCTTCCTTCTTTTGACTTTCATCATAGTTGCCTTCATTCATGAAGCCTTCATCATTGTGGCCTTCGTCCGTGTGGTCTTCATCCTTGTGGCCTTCATCTTTGTGTTCATTTTCCGTGTGGCCTTAATCCATGTGGCCTTCGTCTTTGTGCTCTTAAACCTAGTGACCTTCATTCTTTTGGCCTTCATCTTTGTTGTCTTCAACCGTGTGACCTTCATTCTTGTGGTTTTCATTCGTGTCACCTTTATCCGTATGGTTTTCTTCCGAGTGGACCTTAATCCTCGTGGTCTTCATCTTTGGTGCCTTCATCCGTTTGACCTTCATTCTTGTAGCTTTCATCCTTGTCGCCTTTAGCCTTGTGGTCTTCAGCCGTGTGGCCTTCTACCATGTGGTCTTCATCCTTGTGGCCTTCAGCCGTGTGGTCTTCATCTTTTAGGTCTTCATCCGTGTGGCCGTCATCTGTGTGACCTTCATCCATGTGGTCTTCATCCTTGTACCCTTCATCCTTTTGGCCTTCATCCTTGTTTCTTTCATCCGAGTGGCCTAAATCCGTGTTTCCTTCATCTGTGTGGCCCTCATCTGTTTGGCCTTCATCTGTGTGGCCTTCGTCCTTGTGGTCTTCATCCTTATGACCTTCATCCTTGTGACCTTCATCCTTGTGTCCTTAATTTTTGTGGTCATCATCCTTGTGGCATTCATCTTTGTGGTCTTAACCATCGTGACCTTCATCCTTGTGGCTTTCTGCCTTGTGGCCTTCATCCTTGTGGCCTTCATCCTTGTTGCCTTCATCCTTGTTGCCTTCATACTTGTGGTCTTCTTCCTAGTGGCCTTTATCCTTGTGGCGTTCAGCCTTATGACCTTCGTTCTTGTGACCTTCATCCTTTTGGCCTTTATCCGTGTGACCTTCATCCTTGTGGCCTTCGTTTTGTGGTCTTTATCCTTGTGACCTTCATTCTTTTGGCCTTCATCCTAATGGACTTCATCATTGAGGCTTTTATCGTTGTTGTCTTCATCCGAGTGGCCTTCATCCTTTTGGTCTTCTTTCGTGTGATCTTCATCCATATGGCTGTCATCCGAGTGGCTTTAATGCTTGTGGTTTTCAACCGCGGTGCGTTCATCCATGTGACCTTAATCCTCGTGGCCTTTATTCCTGTAGCCTTTATCAGTGTGGCCTTCATCCGTGTGGAAAGCATCCGTGTGGCCTTCATCCTTATGGCCTTCATCCTTGTGGTCTTCGTCCACAAGGTCTTCATCCATGTGGCCATCATCTGTGTAGCCTTCATCCATGTGACCTTCATCTGTGTAGCCTGTATCCATGTGGCTTTCACCTGTATGGCCTTCATCCTTGTGGCCTTCATCCTTGTGGCCTTCATCTGTGTGGCCTTAGACCATGTGACCTTCATCCTTGTGGCCTTCATCCTTGTGACCTTCGTCCTTTTGGTCTTCATCCTTGTTGCCTTGACCCGTGTGGCCAAGGCCTTCATCCATATGGGCTTCATCCACGAGGCCTTCATCTATATGGCCTTCATCCTGGTGTCCTTCATCGTTGTGGCCTTCATCCGTGTGATCTTCAATCATATGGTCTTCATCCTTTGGTTTTCATTCGTGTGGTCGTCATCACTGTGGATGTCATCTGTTAGACCTTCATCCGTGTGGCCTTCATCCTTGTAGTTTTCATCCTTGTGCTCTTCATCCTTGTGGCCTTCATCCTTGTTTCAATTATCCTTGTAGTCTGTGTCAGTGTGGCCTTCATCAATGTGGTCTTCATCCTTGTGGTTTTCATCATTCTTGTCTTCGTCAGAGTGGCCTTTATCCGTATGACCTTTTTCCGTATGGCCTTTTTCCGTATGGCCTAAATCCGTGTTTCGTACATCTGAGTGGCCTTCATCCGTGTGGCCCTTATCCGTATCGCCTTCTTCCTTGTGGTTTTCATTCATGTGGTCTTCATCCTTGTGGCCTTCATCATTGTTGTCTTCATCCTAATAATTTCCATTCGTGTGGCGTATTTCCGTGCGGCCTACATCCGTGTCGCCCTCATCTTTGTGGTCTTCATCCTTGTGATCTTCATCTTTGTTGCCTTCGTAAATGTGGCCTTTTTCCGTGTGGCATTCACCAGTGTGGCCTTCATCCTTGTGACCTTTGTCCTTGAGGCCTTCATCCGTGTGGCCTTCAACCTTGTGGTCGTCTTCCAAGTGGTCTACATCTATGTGGCCATCATCTGTTTGGCCTTCATCCATGTGGCCTTCACCCATGTGGCCTTCATCCTTTGGCCTTCACCCATGTGGTCTTCATCCTTGTGGAATTCTTCCATGTGGTTTTCATCTGTGTGGTCTTCATCCTTGTGGAATTCTTCCATGTGGCCTTCATTTGTTTGGCAATCATCCTTGTGGTCTTTATATGTGTGATCTTCAGCCATGTGGCCTTCATACTTGTGGTCTTCATCCTTGTGGCCTTCATCTGTGTGTACTTCATTCTTCTGGCCTTCATCCTTGTTGCCTTCATCTTTGTGGCCTTCATCCTTGTGACCTTCATCCTTGTGGCTATCATACTTGTGGTCTACATCCTTGTGGCTTTCATCCCTGTGACCTTCAACCTGTTGGCCTTCAACCGTGTGGCTATAATCCTTGTGGTCTTCATCCGTGGAGCCTTCATCTGCTTGACCTTCATCCTCGTGGCGTTCATCCTTTATCCGTTGGCATTTATCCGTGTGGCCTTCATCCGTGTGGCCTTGATCCTTGTAGCCTTCATGCTAGTTGCCTTCATCTATGTGGTCTTCACCTGTGTGGCCTTCATCCGGGTGTCCTTCATCCATGTGGCCTTCAACCTTGTGGCCTTCACACGTGTGGCCTTCAAACTTGTGGCCTTCATCCTAGTATTCTACATCCCTGTGGACTTTATCCATATGGCCTTTATCCTTGTGGCCCTCATCCGTGAGGCCTTCAAGCTGATGGCCGTCATTCTATTGGTCTACATCTCTACGGCCCTCATCCGTGTGGTCTTCAACCTTGTCACCGTCATCCTAGTGGTCTTCATCCGTTTGGCCTTCATCATTAAAGTCTTTATCTGTGTGACCTTCGCCCGTGTGACCTTCATCTGTATTACCTTCATTTGTGTGGCATTTATCCATGTGCTCTTCATCCGGTTGGCCTTCATCCTTGTGGTTTTTTTTCCATGTGACCTTCATCCGTGTGGCCGTCATCCTAGTGGTCTTCATCTTTGTGGCCTTCACCTTGTAGTCTTCATCCATGTAGCCTTAAACCCTCATCCTTGGGGCTCATCTTAATGGCCCTCATCCTTGAGGTCTACTTCACTGTGGCCTTCATCCGTGTTGCCTTCATCCGTGTTGCCTTAAACCTTGAGGCCTTCACACGTGTGGCATTCAACCTTGTGGCCGTCATCCTAGTGGTCAACATCCTTATGGTACTCATTCCTGAAGCCATTATCCATGTGGCCTTCCTCCATGTAGCCTTCATCCATGTGGCCTTCAAACGTGTGGGTTTCAACCTATATGGCCGTCATCCTAGTAGTCTACATCCGTGTGGCCTTCATCCGTGTTGCCTCCATCCATGAGGTCTTCACCCGTGTGACCTATATCCTTGTAGCTTTCATTTGTGTGGCCTTCATCTGTATGGCGCTCATCCGTGTGGCCTTCATCCGTGTGGCCGTTTTCCATGTGGTCTTCTTCCATGTGGGCTTTATCCTTGGGGCATTATTCAGTGTGGCCATCATCCTGGTGGCCTTTTTCTATTTTGCCTTTGCCCTTGTGGTCGTCATCCTAGTGGTCTTCATCCTTGTAGCATTCATCCCTATAGCCTTCATCCGTGTAACGATCAACCGTGTGGCCTTCATCTTTATGGCATTTTTCCATGTGGCCTTCATCCGTGTGGCAGTCATCCTAGTGGTCTACATCCTTGTGGCCTTCATTTGTGTTGCCTTTATCCGTGTGACCTTCATCCATGTGGTCTTCTTCCGAGTGTGGCCTTCATCCTTGTAGCCTTCATCTGTGTGGCCTTCATTCTTGTAGCCTTCATCTGTGTGGCCTTCATCTTATTGGTCTACATCCCTGTGGCCTTCATACGTGTGGCCTTCATCCCGGTTACCTTCATCTGTGTTTCCTTCATCCGTGTGTCCTTCATCCGTGTGACCTTCATCCATTTGGCCTTTTTCCATGCAATCTTCATCCGGGTGGCCTTCATTCTTGTGGCCTTCATAGTTATGGTTTCCATCCTTGTAGCCTTTCTCCGTGTGGCATTCTTTCATGTTGTCTTCATTCGTGTGGCCTTCATCCTTGTGGCGTTCATCTTTGGGGCCTTCATCCATGTGGCCTTCATCCTTTTGGAATTCATCCTTGGGGCTTTCATCCTTGTGGCCTTCATCTTTGGGGCCTTCATCCTGTAAGCATTCATCCTTGTGGCCTTTATCAGTGTAGCCTTCATCCATGTGGCCTTCATCCTTTTGGCCTTCATCCTTGGGGCTTTCATCCTTGTAGCCTTCATCCGTGTGGTCTTCATCCTTGTGGCCTTCCTTGCGGCCTTCATTCGCGTGGCCTTCCTCTGTGTATCCTTCATCCATGTGGCCTTCATCTGTGTGGCCTTCATCTTTGACGGCTTCATCCGTATGACCTTCATCCGTGTGGCCTTAATCCATGTGGCCTTTTTCATGTGTTCTTCATCCGAGTGGCCTTCATCTGTGTGGTCGTCATCCTAGTGGTCTACATCCCTGTGACCTTCATCCATGTGGCATTTATCTGTGTAGCCTTCACCTGGGGTACCTTCATCCTTATGGCCTTCATATCTGTGGTCTACATTAGTGTGGCTTTCATCCTTGTGGTCTTCATCCTTGTGGCCTTCATCCTTGTGGCCTTCATCCTTGTTGCTTTCATCCGTATGACCTTCATCCTTCTGGCCCTCATCCTTCTGGCCTTCATTCGTGTAGCCTTTATCCATATGGTCTACATCTCTCTGACCTTCGTGCTTCTAACCTTCATCCGTGTGGCCTTCATCCTTGTTGACTTCATTGGTGTGGTCTTCATCTGTGTGGCCTTCATCCTTCTGGCTTACATCCGTGTGTGGCGTTCATCCTTGTTGCCTTTTTTTATGTGGCCTTTTTCTGTGTGATCTTCATCCGTGTGTGGCACTCATCCGTGTGGCCATCATTTGTGTGGACTTCATCCGTGTGGCTTTCATCCGTGTGGCCTTCATCTGTGTGGCCTTCATCATATTAGCCTTCATCCTTGTGAACTTTTTCCATGTGGTCTTCATCCGAGTGGCCTTCATCTCTGTGCCTTATTCTGTGTGGCCTTGATCCTTGGGACTTATTTTCATGTGGTCTTCATCCGTGTAACCATCATCCGTGTGGCCTTCATCCTGCTTGCCTATATACAATTGGTTTTCATCATTGTGTCCAGCATCCGTATTGCCTTCATCCATGAGGCCTTCATCCTTCTGGCCTTCATCAGTGTGGTTTTTCAGCCTTGTTGTCTTCATCCTCGTGGCCTTCAAGCTCATGACTTTCATCCGTGTTGCCTACGTTCTAGTGGTCTACATCCCTGTGGCCTTCATCTGTGTGGCATTTATCTGTTTAGCCTTCATCTGGGTGGCCTTCATCCGTCTGGCCTTTATCCGAGTGGCGTTCATCCGTTTCGCCATTTCCTTGAGGTCTTCATCCGTGTAGCCTTCATCCATGTTGCCTTCATCTTTGAGGCCTTTATTCTTGTAACTTTCATCCGTGTGGCCTTCATCCATGTGATCTTCATCCGTGTGTCCTTCATCCGTGTGACCTTCATCCATTTGGCCTTTTTCCATGCAATCTTCATCCGGGTGGCCTTCATTCTTGTGGCCTTCATAGTTATGGTTTCCATCCTTGTAGCCTTTTTCCGTGTGGCATTCTTTCATGTTGTCTTCATCCGTGTGGCCTTCATCCTTGTGGCGTTCATCTTTGGGGCCTTCATCCATGTGGCCTTCATCCTTGGGGCTTTCATCCTTGTGGCCTTCATCTTTGGGGCCTTCATCCTGTAAGCATTCATCCTTGTGGCCTTTATCAGTGTAGCCTTCATCCATGTGGCCTTCATCCTTTTGGCCTTCATCCTTGGGGCTTTCATCCTTGTAGCCTTCATCCGTGTGGTCTTCATCCTTGTGACCTTCCTTGCGGCCTTCATTCGCGTGGCCTTCCTCTGTGTATCCTTCATCCATGTGGCCTTCATCTGTGTGGCCTTCATCTTTGACGGCTTCATCCGTATGACCTTCATCCGTGTGGCCTTAATCCATGTGGCCTTTTTTCATGTGTTCTTCATCCGAGTGGCCTTCATCTGTGTGGTCGTCATCCTAGTGGTCTACATCCCTGTGACCTTCATCCATGTGGCATTTATCTGTGAAGCCTTCACCTGGGTTGCCTTCATCCTTATGGCCTTCATATCTGTGGTCTACATTAGTGTGGCTTTCATCCTTGTGGTCTTCATCCTTGTGGCCTTCATCCTTGTGGCCTTCATCCTTGTTGCTTTCATCCGTATGACCTTCATCCTTCTGGCCCTCATCCTTCTGGCCTTCATTCATGTAGCCTTCATCCATATGGTCTACATCTCTCTGACCTTCGTGCTTCTAACCTTCATCCGTGTGGCCTTCATCCTTGTTGACTTCATTGGTGTGGTCTTCATCTGTGTGGCCTTCATCCTTCTGGCTTACATCCGTGTGTGGCGTTCATCCTTGTTGCCTTTTTTTATGTGGCCTTTTTCTGTGTGATCTTCATCCGTGTGTGGCACTCATCCGTGCTGCCATCATTTGTGTGGCCTTCATCCGTGTGGCTTTCATCCGTGTGGCCTTCATCTGTGTGGCCTTCATCCGATTAGCCTTCATCCTTGTGAACTTTTTCCATGTGGTCTTCATCCGAGTGGCCTTCATCTCTGTGCCTTATTCTGTGTAGCCTTGATCCTTGGGACTTTTTTTCATGTGGTCTTCATCCGTGTAACCATCATCCGTGTGGCCTTCATCCTGCTTGCCTATATACAATTGGTTTTCATCATTGTGTCCAGCATCCGTATTGCCTTCATCCATGAGGCCTTCATCCTTCTGGCCTTCATCAGTGTGGTTTTTCATCCTTGTTGTCTTCATCCTCGTGGCCTTCAAGCTCATGACTTTCATCCGTGTTGCCTACGTTCTAGTGGTCTACATCCCTGTGGCCTTCATCTGTGTGGCATTTATCTGTTTAGCCTTCATCTGGGTGGCCTTCATCCGTCTGGCCTTTATCCGAGTGGCGTTCATCCGTTTCGCCATTTCCTTGAGGTCTTCATCCGTTTGGCCTTCATCCATGTTGCCTTCATCTTTGAGGCCTTTATTCTTGTAACTTTCATCCGTGTGGCCTTCATCCATGTGATCTTCATCCGTGTGGCCTTCATCCTTGTAGCCTTCATCTGTATGGCCTTCATCCTTGTGCACTTTTTCCATGTGGCCTTCATCCGTGTGGCCGTTATCCTACAAGCCTTCATCCGTATTGTCATCATCCTTGTTGCCAAAGTCCATGTGGCCTTTGTCCGTGTGGCCTTCATCCTTGAGGTCTTTTTCCATGTAACATTTTTCCATATGGTCTTCGTCCGTTTGGCCTTCATCCGTGAGGCCTTCATCCGTGTGGCCTTCATCCGTGTGGCCTTCATCCGTGTGGCCTTCATTCGTGTGGCCTTCATCCTTTGGGGCTTCATCCGTGTGGCTTTCTTCCTTGTGTTCATCATCTTCATGACCTTCATGCTCGTGACTTTCACCCGTGTGGGCTTCATCCTTGTAGCCTTCATCCATTTGGTCTTAATCTGAATTTTCTTCTTCCGTGTGGCCTTCATCCTTGTGGCCTTCATCCTTGTGGCCTTCATCCTTGTGGCATTCGTCCTTGTAGTTTTCATCCTTGTGGCCTTCATCTATGTGGCCTTCATTCCTGTGGTCTTCTTCCGTGTGGCTACATCCTTGTGGCTTTCATCCGTCCATCCATCATCTGTTTGGTCTTCATCCTTGTGCCCTTGTTCCGTGTGACCTTCATCCATGTGGCCTTCATCCTTGTAGCCTTGATCTACGTGGCCTTCATTCGAGAAGCCTTCATCCATGTAGTCTTCATCAGGATGAACTTCGTCCTTGAGGCCTTCATCCGTGTGGCTTTCATCCTTTTTGCCTTCATTCGTGAGACCTTCATCTGTGTAGCAGTCATACTTGTAGCCTTCATCTGTGTGGTCTTCATCCGTGTGGCCTTCATCCATGTGGCCTTCATCCTTCTGGCCTACATACGTGTGGCGTTCATACTTGTAGCGTTTTTCAGTTTAGCCCTTTTCTATGTGATCTTCATCCGTGTGGCACTCATTCATGTGTCCTTCATTCGTGTGGCCTTCATCCGTGTGGCTTTCATCCTGGTGGCCTTTATCCGTGTGGCCTTCTTCCGTGTGGCCTTCATCCATTTGACCTTCATCCTTGTCGCCTTTTTCCATGTGGTTTTCATCCATGTGGCCTTAATCCATGTGCGTTCATTCGTGTGGCCTTCATCCCTGTGGACTTTTTTATGTGGTCTTCATCCGTGTAACCTTCCTCCGTGTGGCCTTCATCCTTGTTTCCTACTTACAATTGGTCTTCATCTTTGTGTCCATCATCCGTATTGAATTCATCCATGAGGCCTTCATCCATGAGGCTTTCATCCTTCTGGCCTTCATCCGTGTTGCTTTTATCCTTGTGGACTTCATCTTCGTGACCTTCATGCTCGTGACTTTCATCCGTGTAGCCTTCATCTTTGTGGCCTTCATCCATGTGGTCTTAATCTGAATTTTCTTCATATGTGTGGCCTTCATCCTTGTGGCCTTCATCCTTGTGGTCTTCATCCTTGTGGTCTTCATCCTTGTAGTCTTCATCCATGTGGACTTCATCTTTGTGGCCTTCATTCATGTGGTCTTCATCCGTGTGGTTTCATCCTTGTGGCTTCCATAAGTGCATCCTTCATCTGTTTGGTCTTCATCCTTGTGTCTCTGTTCCGTGTGGCCTTCATCCATGTGGCCTTCATCCTTGTGGCCTTCATATTTGGGGCCTTCATTCGTGTGGCTTTCATCCGTGTGGTCTTCATCTTTGTGGCCTTCATACATGTGGTATTAATCTGAATTTTCTTCATATGTGCTGCCTTCATCCTTGTGGTCTTCATCCTTGTGGTCTTCATCCATGTGGCCTTCATCCATGTGACCTTCATCCTTCTGGCCTACATCCGTGTAGCGTTAATACTTGTGGCCTTTTTCCATATAGCCTTTTTCTATTTTACTTGTCGCGTTCAACCCGGTAGCCTTCATCCGTGTAGTCTTCATCCGTGTGGCCTTCATCCATGTGGTCTTTATCCATGTGGCCTTCATCCTTGTAACCTTCGTCTGTGTGGCCTTCATCCGTGTGGCCTTCACCTTTTTTGTCTTATCCGTGTGGCCTTCACCTTTTTTGTCTTATCCGTGTGGCCTTCATCCGTGTGGCTTTTATCAGTGTGGCCTTCATCCGTGTGGCCTTCATCTTAGTAGCATTCATCCGTTTGGCCTTCATCCGTGTGGTATTGTTCAGTGAAGCATTCATCTGGGTGGCCTACATCACTGTGGCCTTCATCCGTGTGGCCTTCATCCATGTAGACTTCATCTATATGGCCTTCATGCATGTGGCCTTCATCCATATAGCCTTCATCCCTGAGGCCTTCATCCTTGTAGCCTTCATCCTTGTAGCCTTCATCAGTGTATCCTTCATCCGTGTAGCCTTCATCCGTGTAGCCTTCATCCGTGTGGCCTTCATCCATGTGGACTTCATCCAAGTGACCTTCATCCTTGATGCCTTCATCTGTGTGGCCTTCATCCGTGTGGCCCTCATCCATGCGGCCTTCAACTGTGTGCCCATTTTCCATGTGGTCTTCATCTATTTGGCCTTCATCCTTGTGGCCTTCATCCACGTGGCCTTTACTCATGTGGCCTTTTTCCATGTGGTCTTCATCTGTTTGGCCTTCATCCTTGTGGCCTTTACTCTTATAGCCTTTTTCCATGTGGCCTTTACCCTTGTGGCCTTTTCCCATGTGGCCTTCATCTGTGTGGCCGTCATCCTAGTAGCCTTCATCTGTATGGCCTTCATCCTTGTTGCCTAAATCCATGTGGCCTTCGTCAGTGTGGCCATCATCCTTGAGGCCTATTTCCATGTGGCCTTCATCCGTGAGGCCTTCATCTGTGTGGCATTCGTCCTTGTGGTCGTGTTGTCTTCATCTTTGTGTCCATCATCCGTATTGCCTTTATTTTTTAAGCCATCATTCATTTGGCCTTCATCCGTGTGGCCTTCCTTGTGGTCTTCATCTTCGTGACCTTCATTCTCGTGACCTTCATTCGTGTGGCCTTCATCCTTGTGGCCTTTATCCTTGTGGTCTTCATCTGTATTTTCTTCATTCGTGTATCCTTCATTTTTTAGGCCTTCATCCATGTGACCTTCATCCTTGTGGCTTTCATCCTTTTGGTCTTCATCCGCATGGCTTCATCCTAGTGTCTTTCATCCGTGAACCATTCATCCGTTTGGTCTTCATCCTTGTGGCACTGTCCCGTATGGCCTTCATCCGCGAGGCCTTCATCCTTGTAGCCTTCATCAGCGTGGCCTTCATTCGTGTAGCCTTCATCCATGTGGTTTTCATCCGTGTGGCCTTCGTGCTTGGTGCCTTCATCCGTGTGGCCTACATTCTTGTTGCTCTCATCCATATGGCCTTCATCTGTGTGGCCATCTTTCTTTTAGCCTTCATTCATGTGGCATTCATCCTTGTAGCCTTCATCCGTTTGGTCATCATCCTTCTGGCTTTCATCCGTGTGACCTTCATCCTTGTAACCTTCATCCGTGTAGCCTTCATTCGTGTGGCCTTCATCCATGAGGTCTTCATCTGCGTAGCCTTCATCCTTGTAGCCTTTTTCTGTGTGGCCTACATCCGTGTGGCGTTCATTCGTGTAGCCTTCATAAGTGTGGACTTTTTCCACGTGGTCTTCATGCGAGAGGCCTTCATTCTTGTGGTCTTCATCAGTGTGGCCTTCATCCGTGTGCCTTATTCCGTGTGGCCTTCATCCTTGGGCATTTATCTGTGTTGCCTTAATCCGTGTGGCCTTCATCCTTGGGCATTTATCTGTGTTGCCCTAATCCGTGTGGCCTTCATCCGTGTGGACTTTTCTCATGTGGTCTTCATGCTTGTGGCCTTCCTTCTTGTAGTCTTCATCCGTGTGGCCTTCATCTGTGTGGTATTTATCTGTGTTGCTTTCATCAAGGTGGCCATCATCTGTGTGGCCTTCATCCTTATGGTCTACATCCGTGTGACCTTAATCCTTGTAGCCTCCATCTGTGAAGCCTTCCTCCGTGTAGCCTTCATGGGTGTGGCGTTCATCCGTTCGGCCTTTTTTCCATGTGGTCTACATTACACGTGGCCTTTATCTTTGAGGCCTTCACCCATGTAACCTTCATCCGTGTAGCCTACATCCGTGTGGCGTTCATCCATGTGGTATTTCATCTGTGTTGCCTTCATCCTTGTAGCCTTCATCTGTGTGACCTTCATCCATGTAGTCTTCATCCGTGTGGCCATTTCCCATGTGGTCTTAATCCGGTTGACCTTCACCCTTGTGGCTCTTCCCATGTGGCCTTCATCTGTGTGGCCATCATCCTAGTAGCCTTCATCCGTATGGCCTTCATCCCTGTTGCCTAAATCTATGTGGCTTTCGTCCGTATGGCCTTCATCCTTGAGGCCATTTTCCATGTGGAATTTTTCCATGTAGTCTTTATCCGTGTGGCCTTCACCCGTGAGGCCTTCCTCCGTGTGGCCTTCATCCATGTTACCTTCATACATGTGGCCTTCATCCGTGTGGCCTCATCCTTGTATCCATCATCTTTATGTCCTTTATCCATGAGGCGTTCATCTGTTTGGCCTTTTACCATGTGGTCTTAATCCGTGTGGCCTTCATTCATGTTACCTTCATCTTTGAGGCCTTCATCCTTCTAACCTTCATCCGTGTAGCCTTCGTCTGTGTTGCCTACATCCGTATGGCGTTCATCCATGTGGCCTTCATCAGTGTGGACTTTTTCCATGTGGTCTTCATGCGTGTGGCCTACATTCTTGTGGTCTTCATCCGTGTGGCCTTCATCCGTGTGCCTTATTCCGTGTGGGCTTCATCCTTGGGCATTTATCTGTGTTCCCTTCATCTGGGTGGCCTTCATCCGTGTGGCCATTTCCCATGTGGTCTTAATCCGGATTTCATCCTAGAGGCTTTCATCCATGTGTCCTTCATCCGTGTGGTCTTCATCCTTGTGGCCTTCATCCGTGTGGCCTTCATCATTGTGGCCTTCATCTGTTTGGCGTTCATCCATATGGTCATTTCCTTGTGGCCTTTTTCCAAGTCTTTCTCATCCGTGTGGCCTAAGTCTGTGTGGCCTTCATCCGTGTGGCCTTCTTCCGTGTGACCTTTTTCCATGTAGCCTTCATCTGTTTGTCTTTTATCTGGGTTGCCTTCAACCTTGTGGACTTATTCCATGTAGTCATCATTCATGTAGCCTTCTTCCATGTGGCCTTCATCCTTTTTGCCTAACTTCATGTGGCCTTCATCCGTGAAGTCTTCATCCGTTTGGCCTTTTCTATGTTTTCTTCATCCGTGTGGCCTTCATCCTTGTGGCCATCACCCATGTGGTTACCTTACCTTGAGGTTACCTAGAGGTGCTTCCGGGGCTTAGTGTCCCCGCGGCCCGATCGTCGACTAGGCCTCCTGGTTGCTGGACTGATCAACCAGGCTGTTAGACGCGGCTGCTCGCAGCCTGACGTATGAGTCACAGCCTGGTTAATCAGGTATTCTTTGCAGGTGTTTATCGAGTTCTCTCTTGAACACTGTGAGGGGTCCCTTATGTGTAGCGGAAGCGTGTTGAACAGTCTCGGGCCTCTGATGTTGATAGAGTTCTCTCTCAGAGTACCTGTTGCACCTCTGCTTTTCAACGGGGGTATTCTGCACATCCTGCCATGTCTTCTGGTCTCATGTGATGTTATTTCTGTGTGCAGGTTTGGGACCAGCCCCTCAATTATTTTCCACGTGTAAATTATTATGTGTCTCTCCCGCCTGCGCTCAAGGGAGTACAGATTTAGGCTCTTTAGTCGGTCCCAGTAATTTAGATGTTTTACTGAGTGGATTCTAGCAGTAAAGGATCTCTGCACGCTCTCCAGGTCAGCAATTTCTCCAGCTTTAAAAGGGGCTGTCATTGTGCAGCAGTACTCCACTCTTGAGAGCACAAGCGTTTTGAAAAGTATCATCATCGGTATAGCATCTCTAGTGTGAAAAGTTCTTGTTATCCAACCTGTCATTTTTCTTGCAGTTGTGACGGCTACTTTATTGTGTTCTTTAAAGGTAAGGTCTTCCGACATGAATACACCCAGATCCTTTACATTGCCTTTTCGTTCTATGTTATGATTTGCCTGAGTTTTGTACGTGGTTTCTGTTTTTATATTTCAATTTTTCCGTAACGCATGAGCTGCAACTTATCCTCGTTAAACACCATATTATTTTCTGTAGCCCATAGAAAGACCTGATCTACATCTAATTGGAGGTTTGCCGAGTCCTCTATGTTGCCAACTCTCATGAAAATCCTAGTGTCATCTGCAAAGGATGATACAGTGCTATAGGTTGTGTTCTGGTCTATGTCCGATATGAGGATGAGAAAAAGTACTGGAGCAAGCACAGTACCCTGGGGGACTGAGCTCTTCACGGTTGATGGGCTGGATTTTATTTTGTTGACTATTACACATTGGGTTCTGTTAGTCAGGAAATTGTAGATCCATCTGCCTATTTTCCCGGTAATTCATTTTGAACGCATTTTATGTGCAATAACACCATGGTCACATTTATCAAAAGCTTTTGCGAAATCTGTGTAAATTACATCAGCGTTCTGTTTGTCTTCCATAGCATTTAATGCCATATCATAGTGGTCCAGCAACTGCGACAGGCAAGAGCGCCCTGTTCTGAAACCATGTTGTCCGGGGTTATGGAGATGCTGTGATTCCATGTATTTTGTGATCTTACTTCTTAGCACTCTCTCAACAATTTTTATGATGTGCGATGTTAGTGCTATCGGTCTGTAAATTTTTGCCTCTGCCTTATTTCCTCCTTTATGGAGTGGTGCTATCTCTGCTGTTTTTAGTATGTCAGGGATAACGCCAGTATCTAGGCTTTGTCTCCACAGAATGTGAAGGGCCTGCGATAGTGGTTTTTTACAGTTCTTGATGAATATGGAGTTCCAAGAATCCGGGCCTGGTGCAGAGTGCATAGGCATACTGTTTATGGCTTCTTCAAAATCTAGTGGGGATAGGGCGACGTCTGATATATGATTTTATGTTGGTATCATATCCATGAAAAATTCATTTGGGTTATCAATCTTAAGTGCATTTAATGGCTCGCTGAAAACAGAGTCGTACTGCTTCCTCAGTAACTCGCTCATTTCTTTGTTGTCATCGGTGAATGTTCCATCTCCCTCTCGCAGGGGCCCGATACTAAATGTGGTTTTTGATCTTGATTTTGCATAGGAGAAAAAATATTTCGGATTTCTCTCTATTTCACTGATGGCCTTTTGCTCTCTTTGCCTCTCCTGGGTTTTCTATGATTCTTGTAGCTTGAGTTCAATTGTTTCTATTTCTCTACCTAACCTTCTTCGCCGTTCTTGAGATAGGGTGCGACTCTCAAGTTGTTCCGCGATTCGTTTTCTTCGCCTATATAGGGAACGACGTTCCCGTTTCAATCTGCATCTCTTTCTCTTCTTTCTTAGGGGTATGCGGTTTGAACATATTTCTAGTGCTACTGAGCCTATTTTTTCCAGGCACTGGTTTAGGTTTGCATTTCCTAGTTGTTCTTCCCAGTTTATTTCTGTGAAGTCTTGATTTATTTGCTCCCAGTTTATCCGTTTATTATTGAAGTTGAATTTGCTGAAATCTCCTCCACCGGGAATCTGGACTGGTTTTGAAGGTCCATTCCCCATGGTTGTCAGAACTTCAATTAAGTTGTGATCTGAGTAACAGGTATTTGTAATCATTATGTTCCCGATCAACTCATCATTATTAGTGAAAATGAGGTCCAGCGTGTTCTCCTTCCTAGTTGGTTCTACTATTTGCTGGTTTAAGGCAAACCTATTGCACATCCGTAGCAGGTCATTTGCATGTGCCTGTTCATTTAGGCTACTTCCAGGTATTCTTTCTGATAATGCTGTATTAGCCAGGTGCTTCCATTTCAGGTGCCGTAGGTTGAAGTCCCCAAACTTGATGATGTTCGGAGCTGGATTTGTGAGGTTTTCCAAGCAGTGCTCTATTTTCATTAGTTGGTCTTTAAACTGCTGAGGGTTTGCCTCCGGTGACTTATATACAAGGACAACAACTACATTTGGCCTTCATCCTTGCTGTCTTTTTCCGTGTAGCCTTCATCCTTGCTGTATTTTTCCATCTGTCCTTTTTCTAAGTGGCCTTCATCCGTGTGGCCTTCATCCGTGAGGGGTTCATTCATGTGGCATTTGTTCTTCATCTTTGTGACCATCATCCGCATTGCCTTCATCCTTCTGGTCTTCATCCATGTGGCCTTCGTCCTTGTGGTATTCATCTTCGTGACCTTCGTGCTCGTGACTTTCAACCGTGTGGCCTTCATCTATGTGGCATACATCCATGTGGCCTTCATCCGTGTAGCCTTCATCCGTGAGGTCTTCATCCTTGTGGTCCTTATCCGTTCGGCCTTCATACGTGTGGCCTTCATCCTTGTAGTCTTTTTCCATGTGCTCTTCATCTGTGTGGCCTTCATCAGTGTGCTCTTCATCCGTGAGGCCTTCATCCGTGTGGTCTTCATCATTGTGGACTTTTTTCATTGTGGCCATTTTCATTTTCAATTCATTCATTCACGAATGAAGGTCATTCATTTTCAGTGTATCCTTCATCCATGTAGTATTCATCCTTGTGGTCCTCATCTTCGTGACGTTCATGCTCGTGCCTTTCATCCGTGTGGCCCTCATCCTTGTGGCCATAATCCAAGTAGTCTTCATCCTTGTAGTCTTAACCCTAGTGGCCTTCATTCTTGTGGCCTTCATCCTTGGGGCCTTCATCTATGTGGCCTTCATCCGTGTGGTCTTCATCCTTGAGGCCTTCATCCTTATGGCCTTTATCCATGTGGCCTTCACCCTTGAAGCCTTCATCCTTGTCGTCTTCATCCTTGTGGTCTTCATTCGTGTGGTCTTCATCCTCGTGAATAGATCCATGTGGCCTTCATTTATGTGGTCTTCATCCATGTGGCCCTCATCCGAATGGCTTTCATCCTTGTGACTTTAATCCTTGTTGCCTTCATCCATGTGGCCTTCTTTCTTGTGGTTTTCATCCGTGTGGACTTCATCCATGTGGCCCTCATCCTTGTGATCTTAATCCTTGTGGTCTTCATCTGTGTCACCTTTATCCATGTGGCCTTCATCATTGAAGCTATCATCTGCGTGGCCTTCATCCGTGTGGCCATCATCCACGTGGTCTTCATCCGTATTGTCTTCATCTTTGTAGCCTTCATCCATGTGGCCTTCATCCTGATAGCGTTCATCCATTTGGCCTTCATCCTTCTGGCCTGCATCCTTGTGGCCTACATCCGTGTTGCCTTCATCCTTGTGGCGATTTCCATGTGGCCTTTTTCCATCTGTTCTTCATCCGTGTGGCCTTCATCCCTGTGGCCTTCATACGTGTGGCCTTTATCGTTGTTTCCTAAGTCCGTGAAACCTTCATCCATGTGAAATTCATAATTGTTTTTTTCATGTATTCTTCATCCGTGTGGTCTTTTTTCCTTGTGTACTTTTTCCATGTGATCTTCATCAATGTAGCCTTCATCCGTGTGGCTTTCATTTTTTTGCCTCATTCCTTGTGGCGTTCGTCCGTGTGGCCTTCATCCGTATGGCCTTTTCCATGTTGTCTTCATCCGAGTGGACTTCATACATGTGGCCTATAACCTTGTTGCCCTTTTCTATGAGGCGTTTATCCATGTGGGCTTCATCCTTGTAGCCTTCGTCTGTGTAGCCTACATCTGTGTGGCGTTCATCCGTGTGGCCTTCATCTGAGTGGATATTTTCCATGTGGTCTTCATGCGTGTGGCCTTCATTCTTGTGGTCTTCATCCGTGTGCCTTATTCCGTGTGGCCTTCATCCTTGGGCATTTACATGTGTTGCCTTCATCTGGGTGGCCTTCATCCGTGTGACCATTTCCCATGTGGTCTTAATCCAGATTTCATCCATGTGTCCTTCATCCGTGTGGTCTTCATCCTTGTGGCCTTCATATGAAGGCCAGTAGTGGTATGGTAGTAGTGGTGTACTAATAGTGGTTTGGAAGTAGTGGTGTAGTAGTAGTGGTGTACTAGTAGTGGTGTGGTAGTAGTGGTGTAGTAGTTGTGGTGTACTAGCACTGGTGTGGTAGTAGTGGTGTGGTAGTAGTGGTGTGGCAGTAGTGATGTGGAAGTAGTGGTGAGGTAGTACTTGTGCTCTCTAGAGTGGAGTACTGCTGCACAATGACAGCCCCTTTCAAAGCTGGAGAAATTGCTGACCTGGAGAGCGTGCAGAGATCCTTTACTGCTAGAATCCACTCAGTAAAACATCTAAATTACTGGGACCCACTAAAGAGCCTAAATCTGTACTCCCTTGAGCGCAGGCGGGAGAGATACATAATAATTTACACGTGGAAAATAATTGAGGGGCTGGTCCCAAACCTGCACACAGAAATAACATCACATGAGACCAGGAGGCATGGCAGGATGTGCAGAATACCCCCGTTGAAAAGCAGAGATGCAACAGGTACTCTGAGAGAGAACTCTATCAACATCAGAGGCCCGAGACTGTTCAACACGCTTCCACTACACATAAGGGACCCCTCACAGTGTTCAAGAGAGAACTCGATAAACACTTGCAAAGAATACCTGATTAACCAGGCTGTGATTCATACGTCAGGCTGCGAGCAGCCGCGTCTAACAGCCTGGTTGATCAGTCCAGCAACCAGGAGGCCTGGTCGACGATCGGGCCGCGGGGACACTAAGCCCCGGAAGCACCTCAAGGTAACCTCAAGGTAGTAGTGGTGTACTAGTTGTGGTGTACTAGAAGTGGTGTACTAGTGGTGGTGTGGTAGTAGTGGTGTGGTAGTAGTGGTGAACTATTTGTGGTGTGGTAATAGTGGTGTACTAGTAGTTGTGTACTAGTAGTGGTGTGGTAGTAGTGGTGTGATAGTAGTGGTGTACTAGTAGTGGTGTGGTAGTAGTGGTGTGGTAGTAGTGGTGTGGTAGCATTGGTGTGGTAGTAGTGGTGAGGTAGTAGTGGTGAGGTAGTAGTGGTGTGGTAGTAGTGGTGTACTAGTAGTGGTGTACTAGTAGTGGTGTACTAGTAGTGGTGTGGTAGTAGTGGTGTACTAGTAGTGGTGTACTAGTAGTGGTGAACTAGTAGTGGTGTACTAGTAGTGGTGTGGTAGTAGTGGTGTACTAGTAGTGGTGTGGTAGTAGTGGTGTGGTAGTAGTGGTGAGGTAGTAGTGGTGAGGTAGTAGTGATGTGGTAGTAGTGGTGTACTAGTAGTGGTGTGGTAGTAGTGGTGTGGTAGTAGTGGTGTGGTAGTAGTGGTGAGGTAGTAGTGGTGAGGTAGTAGTGGTGTGGTAGTAGTGGTGTACTAGTAGTGGTGTACTAGTAGTGGTGTGGTAGTAGTGGTGTACTAGTAGTGGTGTGTTAGTAGTGGTGTGGTAGTAGTGGTGAGTTAGTAGTGGTGTGGTAGTAGTGGTGAGGTAGTAGTGGTGAGGTAGTAGTGATGTGGTAGTAGTGGTGTACGAGTAGTGGTGTGGTAGTAGTGGTGTGGTAGTAGTGGTGTGGTAGTAGTGGTGAGGTAGTAGTGGTGAGGTAGTAGTGGTGTGGTAGTAGTGGTGAGGTAGTAGTGGTGTGGTAGTAGTGGTGTACTAGTAGTGGTGTACTAGTAGTGGTGTACTCACCTAGTTGTACTCACCTAGTTGTGTTTGCGGGGGTTGAGCTCTGGCTCTTTGGTCCCGCCTCTCAACCGTCAATCAACAGGTGTACAGATTCCTGAGCCTATCGGGCTCTGTCATATCTACACTTGAAACTGTGTATGGAGTCAGCCTCCACCACATCACCCCCTAATGCATTCCATTTGTCAACCACTCTGACACTAAAAAAGTTCTTTCTAATATCTCTGTGGCTCATTTGGGCACTCAGTTTCCACCTGTGTCCCCTTGTGCGTGTTCCCCTTGTGTTAAATAGACTGTCTTTATCTACCCTATCAATCCCCTTCAGAATCTTGAATGTGGTGATCATGTCCCCCCTAACTCTTCTGTCTTCCAGCGAAGTGAGGTTTAATTCCCGTAGTCTCTCCTCGTAGCTCATACCTCTCAGCTCGGGTACTAGTCTGGTGGCAAACCTTTGAACCTTTTCCAGTTTAGTCTTATCCTTGACTAGATATGGACTCCATGCTGGGGCTGCATACTCCAGGATTGGCCTGACATATGTGGTATACAAAGTTCTGAATGATTCTTTACACAAGTTTCTGAATGCCGTTCGTATGTTGGCCAGCCTGGCATATGCCGCTGATGTTATCCGCTTGATATGTGCTGCAGGAGACAGGTCTGGCGTGATATCAACCCCCAAGTCTTTTTCCTTCTCTGACTCCTGAAGAATTTCCTCTCCCAGATGATACCTTGTATCTGGCCTCCTGCTCCCTACACCTATCTTCATTACATTACATTTGGTTGGGTTAAACTCTAGCAACCATTTGTTCGACCATTCCTTCAGCTTGTCTAGGTCTTCTTGAAGCCTCAAACAGTCCTCTTCTGTTTTAATCCTTCTCATAATTTTAGCATCGTCCGCAAACATTGAGAGAAATGAATCGATACCCTCCGGGAGATCATTTACATATATCAGAAACAAGATAGGACCGAGTACAGAGCCCTGTGGGACTCCACTGGTGACTTCACGCCAATCGGAGGTCTCACCCCTCACCGCAACTCTCTGCTTCCTATCGCTTAGATACTCCCTTATCCACTGGAGCACCTTACCAGCTACACCTGCCTGTCTCTCCAGCTTATGTACCAGCCTCTTATGCGGTACTGTGTCAAAGGCTTTCCGACAATCCAAGAAAATGCAGTCCGCCCAGCCCTCTCTTTCTTGCTTAATCTGTGTCACCTGATCGTAGAATTCTATCAAGCCTGTAAGGCAAGATTTACCCTCCCTGAATCCATGTTGGCGATTTGTCACGAAGTCCCTTCTCTCCAGATGTGTTACCAGGTTTTTTCTCACGATCTTCTCCATCACCTTGCATGGTATACAAGTCAAGGACACTGGCCTGTAGTTCAGTGCCTCTTGTCTGTCGCCCTTTTTGTATATTGGGACCACATTCGCCATCTTCCATATTTCTGGTAGGTCTCCCGTCTCTAGTGATTTACTATACACTATGGAGAGTGGCAAGCAAAGTGCCTCTGCACACTCTTTCAGTACCCATGGTGAGATCCCATCTGGACCAACCGCCTTTCTAACATCCAGATCCAGCAGGTGTCTCTTGACCTCCTCTCTCGTAATTTCGAACTCCTCCAAGGCCGCCTGGTTTACCTCCCTTTCTCCTAGCACAGTGACCTCACCCTGTTCTATTGTGAAGACCTCCTGGAACCTCTTGTTGAGTTCCTCACACACCTCTCTGTCATTCTCTGTATACCTGTCCTCGCCTGTTCTAAGTTTCAATACCTGTTCTTTCACTGTTGTTTTCCTTCTGATGTGACTGTGGAGTAGCTTTGGTTCGGTCTTGGCTTTGTTTGCTATATCATTTTCAAAAATTTTCTCTGCTTCTCTTCTCACCCTGACGTACTCAT